CGGGGACGTTTGTTGCTTTTATTCATTGGTTTACGCCGCGCCGCCGAACCCCTTGGGGCGGCAGCAAGAGTGGAAGACGGAGTTCGCGGAACACGCGCGATCGCTAGGCAATATTGGGTTTGCGGCCTGTCCTACGTAGCGCGTGGGTTTCACGGGGGGACTTTCTCAGGGGATTGTTCTGAAGTTTTTCGAGGTCTCAAGTGGGTTTCTTACGGCCTTCGCGGGGCCTGTCCCAGGCTCCCTTTTCCACCCCCTGGATAGGCTCGGGGATCGTTGAGACCCGCCCGGGGGCGCGCCCGACCAGAAGTTCGAGAGTGCACGCAGCTGCGTCGACGAGGAGCTTCCTGAAGGCCCAAAGGTGGTGGAGAGCGCCCAAGAACTAGGAGTCTCATGCCTCGAGCCTCGATCCACCCCGTGTTCCTTCCTTTGCGAAGGGGTAGCGCCGGCCAGGGAGGTCGATCCTCATCCCGGACCCGCGGCGGTGGTCCCGGGCACCGGAAACGGTTCTCGGAGGCTGAATTCGAGGAGACGCTTCGGGTGGTCGAAAGACCGCGAACATCTGTGAGGCATCGGCGGCGACGACGAGATCGTTTTTGTTTGTCCTCTTCCTCCTCTTCCTCCTCCTTGTCCTTCTCTTTTTCTTCTTCTCGATCGAGGTAGATGCCCGCGGCAGATCCGGCCGCCTTGCCAGAAATTGCTGTTTGAGCAGCTTTTGTTTTTGAGAAGTTTCGGTCTCTGGGGGCCGCTGCTGGGCCCCAGGACTTTCAAAACTGGACGGGCGTAGGGCGAGAAACTGCATCAGCGGGCCTGACGGGGTTTGGGGAACAAGCTTGTGCGAAGTAGCCCGTCGGACTCGGAAGGTTTGTTGTGGTTGGGGGGGGGGTCCGGGCACCTCCCCTGTCGCCGCGGCTGAATGAATTTTGGGAAAACGAGTGCGGCTGGATTTTGGGAGGGGCCCAGGGGGCCCATGGTGAACGATTTCTGAGTGGGGAACAGAGAGGAATTTTGCTCGTTTTTTGAGTCTTTCAGTTGGCTCATGGTTTTCGTCGTCGAAAGGCCGCGTCCGGGTCCCGGGGTCGTTCGGGGGCATTGTGGATCCCCGTCGGGAATTCTTTGGTGCATTTAGTCGCCTTTTCATGTTTTCTCGGGGCGGGCTGCTCGAATTCTCCATTTTGGTTTCCCTTCGTACCCTCCTTTTGGAGCCGTCCTGGGGCTCTCCCTGGTGGTTCCGGGGGCCCTGTTGGGGCCCGTTTGTGCCGTCTGGAAGCCTTTTGGGGGGCACGCGGGGGTTTCCGTGTTGATTTTGGAGGCTTTGGGCCGTTGTGGGATTCGCGAAAGCTCAGGAAGCGAATGTGTTAAACTTTGCGTCTCCCCTCGGGAAAAGGGCCGAGGTTTTGCTGAACCTCTTGGGACGCGCCGTGTTGGCGCGTTGGGGCGTCTAGGGGGCTTCAGGGGTGAACTGGAGACGATGGCGGGCGTCCGGGAGCGATCTCCTCACGAGTCGTAACTCGCGCTCTGAAGACGTCGGGGAGCCTTGTGGGACCCATTTTGGGTTTTTGGGGGGCCGTCCTGGGGCCGTGTTGGGTCGGTTGGGTGGTTTCTGGGGCCTCTTGGCGTCCTTTTTGGAGTGTCTTGGAGTCATTTGTGGAGTTTTTGTTGGTTCGTATTGGGTCGATTTGGAAAGCTTCTTGGGCTGTTGTGGGCCTCGTGGAAGCTGAAGAGGCGAACGTGCTGGGAATGTATGTTGTAAATAGCAAATGAAACGCTTTTTGTTTTTGGAAAGCCCCTTGGGACGTCTCTGGGTGGTTTCCTGGGGCGTCTTGGGGGCTTGTAGGACCGCCGGGAGGCAATCTGGAGCGTCTTGGAGCGATTTCCCGACGACTCGTCGCCCTCGTGGGCCGTCCAGGAGGCCTTCGGGGATCCTCTTGGCCCATTTTGGGGCCCCCTTGAAGCCGTCCTGTGGCTCTCCTGGGCCGTTGCGGTTGTTCCTGGGGCCTTGTCGGGGCCCTCGCTGGCCGTCTTGGAGCCTTCTTGGGGGCCTCTTGGGTTATCTGGGGTCGCTCTTGGATGTTTCTTGGGCCGTTGTAGGCCTCGTGGAAGCCCAAGAGGCGAATATTATGAAATGCATGTTTCCCCAAGGGGATTTGACGATGTTTGCTTGTGGAGGTCTTCTTGGAACGCCCCGTAGCAGCTTTGTCAAACGTCTCGGTGGCCTGTGGGGAATCGTATGCAGGCAAGCTGGAGCGGTTTGGACCGAAGCGACCCCCTCGTGGGCCGTCCAGAAGGCCTTTGGGGACCCTCTTGGCCCGTTGTGGGACTCTCGTGGGACCGTCCTGCGACTGTCCTGGGCCGTTGCTGCGGTTTCTGAGGACTTCGTGGTGCACCCACAAGCCGTCGTGGAGCCTTTTTGAAAGCCTATTGGGGTGTCGGGGGTCGAAATTGGAGGTTCACTGGGAAGAGGCGAATGTTTCCTTAGGGGAACGGGACGATTTTTCTTATGGAGGCCCTCTTGGAGCGCCTCGTGGACGCGTTTTCAAACGTCTTGGGTGCTTATGGGGCCGTCTGGAGGCAATCTTGGGCGGTGTGGACCGAATCGTCCCCCGCGTGGGCCGTCTGGGCAGCCTTTGGGGACTCTGTTGGCCCGTTTTGGAGCCCTCTTGGGACCGTCCTGCGACTCGCCCGGGCCGTTGCTATGGTTTCTGGAGCCTTCGCGGATCGCCTGGAAGCCGTCGCGGAGCCTTTTTAGGAGCCTCTTGCGCTGCGGAGGGTCGATTTTGGAGGCTTCTTGGGCCGTTGTGGGCCGCGTGGAAGCCCAAAAGGCGAATGTGCTGAAAATGTACGTTTTCCCTGAGGAGTGGGACGTTTTTTGCTTCTGGGGGGCCTCCGTGGGGCGCCTCGTAGTAGTTTTTCAAGAGTCTTGGGGACTGATGGGGCCGTCAGGGGTTTTGGAACGATCTCTCGTCGACTCGTAGCTCTCTCGGACTGTTCCGGGACCCTTTTGAACCCGTTTGGCCCATTTTGGGGCCTCCTGAGGCTCTAAGTGCGCGGCGGGCACCTTTGCCCCCCCCCTCCGAACCGGCCGGGCCGGGCCCTCGGGGGAGGGGTTCGGGGAGGGGGAAGCATCTCACATTTTGGGTTCTCGTGGACCGTCTTGGTGGCTTCCTGGGAGGCGTCAAGTGCTGTCGTGCAGCTCAAGAGCGAGCCCAGGGAGCCCAGACCGCCCCGGTTGAGTTCGGTCCGGGGCCACCCGGGGCCGGGGGGGGTCAAAATCCCGGTTTGGGGTCCTTCGGGGGCGGAATATGGAGGGGGGGAACAATCTCAACGCTCAGAATGCATGTGTACAAAGTAACATACGTTGGTCAGATATTGCGGCCGTTCCGGCAGACACCTGGAGAGGTGCGGCGCGGCAGCACAGCCGAACGCGCTGAATTGTCCTCTTTTGCTCATGTGCGTGCGCACAGGGCTGCGACTTAACTTCCTGGAGGCCACGAGGGGGTCGGCGAAGTGTTGGGCTCCCGGAGGCCCACTTCGGGCCCAGCAGGGCCAGCACGGAGCCCCCGCTCGCCGGGGAAGGCGAGGGCACCGTTCCCCGTGGGTTGGCCCCCTGCTCTTCATCACTCAGGAGGGAAAGAAACACGCAGACACAATCAATCGGCGATTCCCCAGAAAATATAGGAAAATATGGGAAGTGGAGGGGAAGACAAAAACCCAGAAAATATGGGAAAATATGGGGAATCTTTTTATTTGCGTGTATTTATTTGTGTGTCCCAGGGCCCCTTCAATCACAGCAGGTGGGCGGGGGCGGCAAAGAGGGGGGTGACGACTGCAGGGGGGGGGGATATCATGGCGGGGGCCATCATGTTTCCCCAGATTTCATGGCGCCTCTTCTTGTTTCATTGCGTCCCTGGACCCCCCCGCTGGGCCGCGCACATGCCGCCGGTCATGATTAGCACCCCCCCCCTCTTGGACACCCCCTCTCCTGGCCGCTCCCGAGGTGGGCGACTTTTCCTCGCTGAGAGGACTTCGATGAGGGCGTGGAGCTAAAAAAACGCTCCCCGTGGATGGGCTCGAGAGCCCCCTCCCGGGGGCCCACGCTGCAGGCAAGCAACAGTACGCCTTAGCACGGGCCGCCGCGAGGGCGCGAAGCTGTTTGCGGTTCGTGATTCGCCATTCTCAGCGAGGGAAATGCGCTGATACCGCTACCCTTCTGTCGCTTTCACCTTTTGGGGCTTCTGTGGATGCCCTCGTCGCCACGGCTGAGTAGCGGTACCGGTATACTTTGGCTTCCCCAGATTCCTCATGTTCATCTTCCTCGTCCTTTTCTCCTTTGGGGGGGTGCGAGAGCGGAAAAAGCAATCCATCTTTCGAAGGCCTCCCAGGAAAAATACCTCTTATCACGCTGGAGGCCTCGGAAACTCCACGGCTGGGGCGGGGGTGTCATGGCTTCGTCGTGGGGAACGCTAGGTGGGATTAGGCCCACGGGGGGGGGAGGGTCGGCCCCCCCATCGCCCGTTGATCGCCGCTGGGAGCCCCGCCCTGCCAAAAACCCCAGACCCCCTCGAGTTATGAAAAAATCACGACGGGAGGTTTCTCATTATTTTTGGCCTTTGGGGGCCCTTACCGGCCCTGGGGACCGTCAAAAACCGACTCAGGACGAAAAACCGGTCCCAGGGAATGGGTCGAGACCTCGGGGGGTCGACGTCATGAAAAAATCATGACGTCGGGGGTCTGGGACGTGCGGATGTGCTATCGGGGGCCTGTCGCCGACCTGTCGGCAATGCGCCGTCGATTGCAGGACGATGTTTCCCCCGGAAGGGTCCACAGGGGTTGGGATGGTAGAATAGTTGCGCGTTCTGACGGGTGGACCAGTGGACCGGTGGACTGCATGGATTGGTGGACGACGGTGGACCGGTGGACCTGTGGATCGGTCGACCGGTCGACCGGTGGACCGGTGGACCCGTGGACCCGTGGACCGGCGCATGTTTTCCACCATTCTGCCGCAGGGGAGCAGGACGTCTTCATATACCTTGCAATGACGTTGGCCCCCTACTGTCTGGACCCCTTGACAGGGACGAGCTGCTTATGCCGAGTCCTGTTTCGTCGGTCAGGGGGCCCCGAGAGGGCCCCGAGAGTCCGACCATCTCAGAAACCGAGGGTTGACCGGCAGATCCCGTGCCGCCCAAGCCCACGGCGCGCGCCCCCTTCCCGCAAGTCCGCGCCCCCTGCCCCCCCCGCGCGGCAGAGCCCTCGATGGCGCTCCGCGCCGGGGCCTCGGCGGCTCTGGCGCTCGTCCTGGCGGCGGCCGGGGCGGCGCCCCCGGAGGGCTGCGCCGCGGCGGCCGAGGACGAGGCGGCCGGGCTCGCGCAGGTGCGGCTGCGGCAGCTGCAGCGGCGGGCCGCCGCCCCGGCCCCAGAGTGCGAGTGGTTGAGTCGGCGACTATACTCGGGCCCATGGGAAAGGGGGGGGGTACGAAGTTTGCTGCATGCAGCTGGTTTCGGCCCCACCGAGGGGGCCCATTCCTCGATATACATGGCCGCCTCCAGGCGCCGGGAGGCGCCGGGAAAATCAGCTACGCGAGCTGATTCTCAAACACCCCCCTTTGCTATCCCCCCCTTTCGCCCGACCCGATATACAAGCGGTGCGGTTACGCCGGGGTGCGGTCTGCGAGTCTCCTCGTGGCGGCCTTCTCCGGGGCCTCTGTGAGGGACGACGTCATAGCTGCCGTCGTTTCGGGCGACGCTGTCGTCCCCGATGTGTGCTCTATACTGTACTAGGAGGAGCGACGCTGTCGTGTGATGCGGTCGCAGTGTGTGACAGTGCCATCCGTTTCCCGGGGGCGGGAGGGGCAGATGTGACGGGAGGCAAGCCGCACCCTTCGCAACCCGCACCCATTGTAGTCGCCCAGGTTGACGCGCCCCGGCGAGTGGTTGGCCCTGCCCGCGGCGCAGGCGTGCCTCGACCTGATCAGGGGGCCCGCGGGGCGGGCCAAGCAGCACATGCAGGCCCTGGCTCGCTACTACGAGAGCTTCTACACGTTCGCCCACATCGCCTCGGACCCCACGGCCGGCAACTACACCTTCGACCCGGCGTTCGCAGACCTCGGCATCTACGGGGGGGCGAACGGCGGGGCGCCCGCCAATGTCAGCGGGGTGGACCTCGTGGGCGATTGGCAGGAGATCGCCGACAGCATCCCAGTCGAGGGCACCTACCCAATCCAGAACTGGGTCGCGCCTGCCAACGCAGCAATTCACAAGCTGCGCGACTGCCACGTGGACATATGGGCAGAGGGCTCGATTCTGCCAGTCCGACTCTTGAATTTGTTCGTGCTGAGGCTCGCGGACATGAGCGACGACCTAGTCAGCATTCAGATCTCTGCTGATCAAGAGAAGGTAAAGATCAACGGCGAACTCAAGCCGATTGTGACGGAGCGTAAGAGTGGCAGCGTCATCAAGAGTATCGACCAGCAGCCTCCCATGCGGTGGCTGACAGAGAATATCGCCTTGTCTCCAACATTTGGCGATTACTGTGCCAAGAGCCTTGGGGGGCGCATGAACCAAGTTGTGGCCGACATCAGCAGAGGCATAGAGTACCATTTGGGGACATTGGGTCCGCTTGACGGCCTAAATCCTGGTAGCGTCAGCGTGGAGTTCGAGGGAGGGTACAGTGCGCAATGGGTTTGGAGGGTCGGTGTATTTCCTGGCAGCTTTCTCCAGGGCACGGGGGGCAACTGCGCGGATTTCGCATGCCTGGTCGACAATGCGCCCAAGTGGCTGGAAAGATCTGGAGAGTTCGGGAAGCTCGTAGAGCTCACAGCCAAGTATCTGAACGGAAACCTGACCGATAATGCGTTGTCTCTGCTCTCTTCCGAGCCTGCGCCTCGCAGGACCTCGCCATCGCCGCCGAGTGTAGCTCCAGTGGCCGCCTCGCTCCCAGACGATGTGTTCGCGTGGATAGGAGATCCGAGCGACGCGCTCGGGTACCTTGCATTCAGGAGCCGCTCGGACGGAACGGAGTTCGGCCTGCTCAAGTACACCACCTTTGTTGTTTCGCATTTGGCCGACGTGCTGGCCGACGAGTGGGCGAAGTTTGTCCAGGAGGCGCGCAGCCGTGGTGTCACTCGGCTGCTGGTGGACTTCGTGGGAAACGGCGGGGGTGCTGTGTGGCTTGCGTACCAGTTTGTGCAGATGATGATGCCGGAGCTGGAGTACAAGCAGACGTGCGGATCCCTGAATCGCCCGATCCCGGAGGCGTACAACCTGTGGAGCAAGATCAACCCTCTTCCAATTGAACAGTTCATCTCGCCCGAGCTCGGCCCTGGTCTCCAGGCAGATAGGAGGGCTGAGCTGGAGGCGGACCCCGCTAAGGCTGTTCTCAACAGCGTACGGGCACTTCTGAACGCCGTGAAGGAGTTCGGGCTGTTGGAGGAGGTCGGGCTGGCAAACATTACCTCCATCTTGGGCGTTCTGGCATCTGCGGACGTGACTTGGGAGTCGGGGTGGGAGAGCGTCCAGTCGCTCCAACCTCTATACGCTGATCTGTGCCCCAATCCATTTATCTCTGGTGGTAATCCACAATATTCTACTGCATACCAGCATCCGCGTCCTGCGCAGAGTGGCAAGTACACCAGGAACTTCACCGCTCGGGTCTACGTCTGTCCCAAGACCACAGCGGGCCTGGGTGGCATCATTGCGCACCCCTTCGAGGACATCGTCTTCGTATCTGATGGCACTTGCGGCAGCAGCTGTTACATGGCTGCGCAGACGACTTGGGCTGCCGCCAGGAGACTGCTTTTGTTTGAGGGTCCGGCGATAGCCCGGGTTGTCGGGCTCACCCCTTCCCCCTCCCCCTAGGATAACCTAACCTAGCCGGTTGGGCAGGTCCAGGGGAGGGGGGCGCAGGGTACTCGCAGGGAGCACTGTGTTCAACGGCGCGGTGGTGTTCGCCACAGCCTGCTGGTGTTTGGATGTACGTTGGCGAAACGTTGTCGCTCGGAGAGGCACGGGTAGACGACGACAGACGACAGACGACAGACGACGACAGAGGACGACGGAGGACGACAGACGACGACAGACGACGACCGACGACGGCCGACGACGACCGACGTCGTCCATATGCATCTCGAGGTGCACGTGAGCAGCGCGTACACAGGCATTGCGCTGTGCTGTGCACAGGCAACGAGGCGATTTTGCGCGCGCATTTGCTGCTGCTGCAGCAGGATATGTTGTGTACGCAGGCGTTGTGGTGCACGCAAACATGGGAGCACGCAGGTCCGCGGTGCACGCGGGCATCGTGATGCACCCAGGCAATATGGTGAAGACAGGCTTTGTGGTGTGTACAACTGCTGCTGCAATCTCAGTTGTCATGCACGCAGGCATCCCAAGCATGGTGGTGTACAGACGCACTGTGGTGTACAGACGCACTGTGGTGCACGGTCACTGCGGTGTGCCACACCTTGCAGTGTACACAGGCGTTGCGGTGTACACATCCGCTGTTGTGCACACATTCGCTATGGTGTGCACAGGCGTTGTGGGTCCCAAAGACGGAACCATTCCCTGCGCAAGAACAGTCAGTCAATAACCACATTCAGTTTACATATTGGATTTGATACGTTCGGATCCCCACGATTTTCGGGGAAAGAGCATGTTCTACCTTTGCTGGCAGAAAAAAAACGGAGGGGGGTCCAACCCGTCCCCCCCCCTCTCGAAAACCGGGGGGGGGTCACTGGGGGTTCAACCCCCCCATCCCCCCCCCCAGTCCATCATGAAACGGAAACACGTCACTTGGTTCGAACCCCTACCCCCCCCCCATCTCTTGGAAAACGGGGGGGGCCACTACCGGTTCGAATCCCTCCCCCCGTCTCCCCCCTCGCTGCAACGACTCTCCCTCCTCTCCCGCTCCGCGTGGGGGGCGGGTGGGGACAGTGGTTGGAAGGGTGGTGGGGATGGTGGTGGGGAGTGGGAGCAATGGGGAGAGTGGGACCGTGGTGGGGACAGTGGTGGGAACAGTGGGGGTAGTGCGATAGTGGTGGGGCCATTGGCGGGGACCGTGGGGACAGTGGTGGGGACTGTGGGGACAGTGGGACAGTGGTGGGGACAATGGGACAGTGGGACAGTCAGTGGTGGGGACGGTGGTGGTGGGGACAGCAGTGGGGACAGTGGTGGGGACGGTGGTGGTGGGGACAGTGGTGAGGGCGGTGGTTAGGACGGTGGTGGGACAGTGGTACAGTGGGGAGAGTGGCGGGGACAGTGGGACAGTGGGACAGTGGGTAGGACAGTGGGAACAGTGCGACAGTGGTGGGGACAGTTGGGGCAGTGGTGGGATCGTGGCGGGGACTGGTGGGGACAGTGGGGACAATGGGACAGTGGTGGGGGCACTGGTGGGGGAAGTGGGGACAGTGGCGGGGAGAGTGGGGACAGTGGGACAGTGGTGGGGACAGCGGGGACAGTGGGACAGTGGGGACGGTGGTGGTGGGGACAGTTGCGAGGGGACACTGGGACAGTGGAGGGGACAGTGGGGACAGTGGTGGGGACGGTGGGGGTTTGGGACAGTGGTGGGGCAGTGGGACGGTGGTGGGGACGGTAGTGAGGACGGGTGTGGGACAATGAGACAATGATACAGTGGGGAAAGTGGTTGGGCAGTGGGGACAGTGCGACAGTGCTTGGGGCACTGGTGAGGAAAGTGGGGACAGTGGTGGGAGCAGTGGGGACAGTAGGACAGTGGTGGGGACAGTGGGGACAGTGGGACAACAGTGGGGCCGGTGGTGGTGGGGACACTGGCGAGGGGACACTGGAACAGTTGTGGGGACAGTGGGACAGTGGTGGGATAAAGGGGGTGGGGGCAGTGGTGAGGGCGGTGGTGAGGACGGTAGTCAGGACAATGGGACAGTGGTACAGTGAGGAGAGTTGTGAGGACAGCAGTGGGACAGTGGTGGGGACAGTGGGGACGGGTGGGAACAGTGGGACAGCTCAGTGGGACGGCGGTGGGGATAGTGGGGACAGTGCTTGGGACAAAGGGGACAGCTGGACCGCGGTGGGGACAGTGGCGGGGACGGTGGGCAGGGTGGGATCGTGGTGGGGACAGTGGTGGGGACAGTGAGGCCAGTGCGACAGTGGTGGGGGCACTGGTGAGGAAAGCGGGGACAGTGGTCGGAACAGCGGGGACAGTGGGACAGTGGTGGGGACAGTGGGGCAGTGGTGGGGACGGAGGTGGTGGGGACAACAGTGGCGAGGGGACACGGGGACAGTGGTGGTGACAGTGGGGACAGTGGTGGGGACGGTGGGGGTGGGGACAGTGGTGAGGGCGGTGGTGAGGACGGTAGTCAGGACAATGGGACAGCGGTGCGATGGGGAGAGTGGTGGGGACAGTGGGGACAGTGGGACAGTGGTGGGAACAGTGGGACAGCTCAGTGGGACGGCGGTGGGGATAGTGGGGGCAGTGCGACAGAGGTGGGGACAGTGGAGCAGCGGGACACTGGTGGGGACAGTTGGGACAGTGAGGAGAGTAGGATCGTGGTGGGGACAGTGGTGGGGACAGTGGGGACAGTGCGACAGTGCTTGGAGCACTGGTGAGGAAAGTGGGGACAGTGGTGGGAACAGTGGGGACAGTAGGACAGTGGTGGGGACAGTGGGGACAGTGGAACAGTGGTGGGGACGGTGGTGGTGAGGACTGTGGCGAGGGGACACTGGAACAGTGGTTGGGACAGTGGGACAGTGGTGGGGGCGGTGGGGGTTGGGACAGTGGTGAGGGCGGTGGTGAGGACGGTGGTGAGGACAATGGGACAGTGGTACTGTGGGGAGAGTGGTGGGGACAGTGGGGACAGTGGGACAGTGGTGGGAACAGTGGGGCAGCTCAGTGGGACGGCGGGGGGGATAGTGAGGACAGTGCGACAGAGGTGGGGACAGTGGAGCAGCGGGACAATGGTGGGGACAGTTGGGACAGTGGGGAGTGTAGGATCGCGGTGGGGACAGTGGTGGGGACATTGGGGACAGTGCGACAGTGCTGGGGGCACTGGTGAGGAAAGTGGGGACAGTGGTGGGAACAGTGGGGACAGTAGCACAGTGGTGGCGACAGTGCGGACAGTGGGACAGTGGTGGGGACGGTGGTGGTGGGGACAGTTGTGAGGGGACACTGGAACAGTGGTGGGGACAGTGGGACAGTGGTGTGGACGGTGGGGGTGGGGACAGTGGTGAGGGTGGTGGGGACGGTCTGTGGGGAGAGTGGCGGGGACAGTGGGACACTGGTGGGAACAGTGGGACAGCTCAGCGGGACGGCGGTGGGGATAGTGGGGACAGTGCGACAGAGGTGGGGACAGTGGGACAGTGGTGGGGACAGTGGAGCCAGTGGGGAGGGTGGGACCGTGGTGGGGACAGTGGCGGGGACAGTCGGGACAGTGCGACGGTGGTGGGGGCATTGGTTGGGACAGTGGGGACAATGGTGGGGAAAGTGTGGACAGTGGGACTATGGTGAGGACGGCGGTGGTGGGGACAGCGGTGAGGGCGGTGGTGAGGATAGTGGTGGGGACCCAGGAGTCTTTTGCCAGCGGCGACGGTGGGGGGAGGGGGGGGGCTCGAACCAGTAGTGACCCCCCCACGGTTTTCTCGCGGGGGGGGGTTTGAACCGGTAGTGACCCCCCTGGTTTTCCGGAGAAGGGGGGGGGGGAGAGGTTAAGGGGGGAGGGTTGCCAGGGGAGGGGGGGGGGGGGAAGGGGGAGGGTTCGAGCACGGGGGATGGATTTTCTTTCGGAGGGGGAGAGGAGGAGAGGGGGTGAATTATGCACAGTGGATCACGTTTTGTCTTTTGTGGAGTTCGTTCCAGCCGGGGGCCCTGGAAGTTTACGCAGTTTGTGGTGTACACAGGCACTTTGGTGCACCGGAGCTGTGGTGCACGAGTATGGTGCTGAAGCAGCAACCGTGGTGCACAGAGGCGTCGTTGTGTACACAGGCAGTATGTGTGGTGTACACAGGCGTTGTGGTGCACACGGCTGCTGTCGTGCACACAGGCATTGTGGTGTACGCAGGCATTGTTGTGTAGACAGGCGCTGCAGTGTACACAAGCAGCTGTGGTATACAAAGGCGTCGTGGCGCACGCTAGACAGGCGCTGTGATGTACACAAACATGGGCGGCCAAAAACGAAAGCGCCCCGGGCCAGAAAAGCTTACTAATTGAATTTAATACGCTCGTGCTCCTGAGGTGCGCGGAAGCGCTGTGGCGCAAATGTTCGCCAGACGTCGTGGTGCACGTAGCTCCTGTGGTGTGCACAAGCACCGCAGTGTACACAGGCTCTGTGGTGCGCACGGCTGCTGTCGTGTACACAGGCATTGTGGTGTACACAGGTATTGTTGTCTAGACTTATGATGTTCCGACCTACCTTAGCCTCGATCGCCAAGAATAATTTCGAGCACCAAGAAAGTGCCGAAACTTGAGATTTGTTAGTGTCGGGCCCTTTGGGGCGAAACTGTTTCGACACTGCTTCGACACTTTTTCTGGGTGCTCGAAATTATTTTTGGGATGTGGCCCTTAAGTGCAATGGAAACAACATAAGTCTAGACAGGCACTGCGGTGTACACAAGCAGCAGTGGTGTACAAAGGCGTCGTGGCGCACGCTAGACAGGCGCTGTGGTGTATACAAACATGGTCGGCCAAAAACGGGGCGACCGCACCCTGGGCCAGAAAAAACAACAATTACACATACCTTACATATTGAATTCGATACGTTCGTGCCCCTGGGGATTTTCCAGACTCGGGCCCCGGCGGGACCTTGGAGTTGCGCGGAAGCGCTGTGGCGCAAATGTTCGCCAGACGCTGTGGTGCACGTAGATCCCTGTGGTGTGCACAAGCACCGCAATGTACACAGGCGCTGTGGTGCACACGGCTGCTGTCGTGTACACAGGCATCGTGGTGTACACAGGCATTGTTGTCTAACTAGACAGGCGCTGCGGTGTACACAAGCAGCAGTGGTGTACAAAGGCGTCGTCGCGCACACTAGACAGGCGCTGTGGTGTACACAAACATGGTCGGCCAAAAACGGGGGACCGCACCCCGGGCCAGAAAAATCAACAATCACAAAAAGAATACATGTTGAATTTGATACGTTCGTGCTCCTGAGGATTTTCCAGATTTGGGCCCCGGCGGGACCTTGGAGGTGCGCGGAAGCGCCGTGGCGCAAATGTTCGCTAGACGCTGTGGTGCACGTAGCTCCTGTGGTGTGCACAGGCACCGGGGTGTACAATGGCGCTGTGGTTCACGCAGAAGCCTCTGCTGCAGCAGCACCTGTGGTGTGCAAGACCGTTGTGGCGCACCCATTTTTAGTGTTCACAGGCAGTGTGGTGCACGCGTGTTCACAGGCAGTGTGGTGCACGGCTACGTGTCACATCCAGCGTATTCCAATGCGAGCTGTCAAGACCTCCTTAAGCATTCTCAGACGGCGCCCGCAGCGTCGCAGCACCAATAGTAGCATTGCGGCAGCATCGTTAGCTTCTGTAGGGGCCGCAGCATTGGTGCGCGCGGGCATATGCAGGGCTGCCCACAGCTCTAAGGTTAGATTATCAGCCAGCCCCCTCCCCCCTAGGGCAAAGCGATCAAGCGAAAAGATGATCGTTCAAGCGAAAAGCTGGTTCGTTCTAGCGAAAACGCAACCATCGAAAACTACGTGGATAGACGCAGGTAGACACAGTGGGACACAAGGGGAAACTGGGGGACACAGGGGGACAAACAGGGACACAGAAGGACACAGAGGGACACAGAGCAACACGGAGGGACACATAGAAACACAGAGAAGCACAGAGAACACAGAGAGACACAGAGAAACACAAAGGGGCACAGAGAAACACAGAGAAACACAGAGGGACACAGAGAGACACAGACAGACACAAAGGGAAACATAGAGACACAAAGGGAAACAGAGAGAAACATAGAGACAGGGGGACACAGAGAGACACAGAGAGACGCAGAGGGACACTGCGGGACACCGTGTGACACAGAGGGACACAGAGGACACTGAAGGACACAGGGAACACACAGAGGCACACAGAGGGACAGAGAAACACAGAGGGATACAGAGAAACACAGAGAAACACAGAGAACACACAGGGACACAGAGAAACACAGAGAAACACAGCGGGACACAAGGGGACACATAGGGACACAGAGTGACACAGAGGGACACAGAGTGACACAGAGGGACACAGAGGGACGCAGAGGGACACAGGGGGACACAGAGGGACCCAGAGGGACACAGAGGGACACGGAGGGACACAGAGGGACCAAGAGAACCGGGATTTGCTTCTCCAGGCTCGATCTCTCCAGAATCCCGGTTTTCCCGGCTCTTGGAGGCGGGGGCTCAGGGCACCTGGCAGAGCCAGGAACCAGGATTTCGGCTTTACCCATCACCTCCCACCAAGCCACCCCAACCCAACCCGAAGGCCTCAATTTGCCCTCCATTTCCAGTGGGGGGGTGTCGGGGAACATTGAAAAGCACGTGGACTCCGTACCCCCCCCAACCCGAAGTTCGAGTCAAATCCAGGTCTTCGGGTTGGGTTGGGGTGGCCTGGTAGGTAGTCAATCCAGATTCGATCTATCCAAAATCCCAGTTCCCGCCATCCCGGCGGTCGCCGCTGTCTTGCCAACTGGCGCCGGCAGTGAACCGTCAACCTGGTCACCGCCGGGAACCTCGTAGAGCTCCTTGCACCTGTAAGAAAGCTCAGGATCAAAGCGGAGAGCTTCTGAGAGTTACGGAGTCAACATGAAGTTGGTTCCCGGAAGTGAACTAGTACTAAAACTGGCTCTAGAGAGCTGACCTGCTGAGGGAACAAAGTTTATATGCCAATGCTCGGCGTAAAAATCTGCTCTGGCGGGGGCGGGGCGCCCGACGGAGCTGGAGGCCAGAATCTCGGGCTCCTGCAGGCTCGATCGCTCCAAGATCCCGGTTCCCGCCCATCCTGGCGGTCGCCGCTCGCGGGGGCGGGGGCGGGCCCAGATGGTCTGGTACCGGAATTTTTCGGTAGCGATTTCGACGCACCCCGAATTTCGGTAGCGACCGGATCTTCGTTTGAGGGCGTTGAAATAGCGGATTTCAGAACGGTCTGATACCGGTATTGGGCGCTACATTTCGGTATTTCGGTAGCGACCGATCTCTGCGGAGCGCTACCGGAAATTTTCGGTAGCGGACCATCAGGGGGGCGCCCGACGGAGCCGGAGGCCAGAATCTCGGGCTCCTGCAGGCTCGATCGCTCCAGAGTCCCAGTAATCCCGCCATCGACCGGGGATAAGCCGCTCGTGGGGGCGGGGGCGGGGCGCTATAGGCAGAGCTGGGAACCCAGAGATCCGAGGTCGTGATTTTTTCCTTACGGGGTCCCCGAAAGTCTCGACCCATTCCCCAGGGCCGGTGTTTCATCCCGAGTCGTTTTCTGACGGTCCCGGGGCCCTGCGAGGGGCCCCTCGAGGCCGAAGAATATGAGAAACCTCCGCCTTGATTTTTCCAATACGCTGGATC